AAAAAAAAAAAGGCCACTCCCGTTTCTTTGTTCTGCGGCGTCGGTCTCAGGCACCTGCTCACCGGTCCTGCTGCCCTGTTTCCCTAGTATCCAGGACCCCACGCATGCACTGTGTCTGCTCTGGTCTGGATGCCTGGGGCTGGGTGTTCAGCAGTCCTGGGCTCCCTCTCCCTCCCTGCTGACTCCTCTCCACCCTCCGGGAGCTGGGGGAGGGGCGTTCGGGTCCCGCCGGGCCGGGGCTTGTATCTTACCCCCTTCGGGAGGTGCTGGGTTCTCACAGGTGTGGATGTTGTCTGGATGTTGTCCTGTGCCCTCTGGTCTCTATTTTAGGAAGAGTTGTCTTTGTTATATTTTCATAGATGAATGTGGTTTTGGGAGGAGATTTCTGCTGCTCTACTCACGCCGCCATCTTGGCCTGCAGCCCCTGAAGGTCATTTTTAAGGCTAGATTTTCAGCTCTCTACAGACAGTAGACACGTTCGCTTTTTCCCATAACCTATGCAATTCTTAGTACAGAGCTAGATATATAGGGGAGCTCCAAAAATATGGACTAAAGTGAATTATAAGGAAAAATGTTTTTATTGTGAAATCAAAATAAAATCTGAATATGCCATCTGCCTCTGGATATTTGGAACTTGTAAAGCAATTGTTAAACTGCCTAGATTGGTATCTGTATATATTTTCTCTGGGTACTCTTAAGAATTTCCAATAGTTCTTAATCAAATCTTGGCATCAAATTGAGTAAATTTTCTTGGGATTAGCAAATGGGCAAATGTAAAGATTGCTAAAATTCTGGTGCCAGACTAAGACAATCTTAAAAATATAAGTAATTCATGACTAAAGCATTGATTGCGTGAGAGACTCTGAGTTAAAACACATTCAGTCTCCTATAACCTCAGGCATCAAACAGATGAGTTAAAAAAATAATTGTGCTTACATCTGCATCCCTCTTCATCAATCAAAAATGTCTCGGTAGAAAAGAGAATTGCTGTATTTAAATACTTGCCTTCTAGAGTTTCAAATTCAAAACAAAACTGCTAATAAAAACATACAGTGTATTCATTCAGGTGGAGTAAAATATTCAAATTATACACAATCATCCCAACATTCCTTCAGGTCAGATATATTGATCAAGGTTAGTACATTTTAGAGTTAAGAGAGCAAAAGAAACAGCTCAACTGGACCCAGGTTGAACAATGAGAGAAAGCTGCATGGAAGCATCACTGGGAATTAAGAGTGTGTAGGCTCTCTGGTATTTAGTATTCCACTTAGTGTGAGCGGAATTTAAAGATTCTGTTTCTTTACAGAAGAAAAGCACTGTGAGCAAGTGAGATACCACCAGTGCTTCTAGCAATCCTTAGAAACTAAAACACAGGACTCGCTTCTCACTTTCTGGGGTAGACTCAGCCCATTTAAAAAGGGTCCTGTGATGTGGGGAAGGCAGTACAGCATGGAGAAGACAAGTAATGACTCTATAGCATCTTACTACGCTGATAGACAGTGACTGCAGTGGGGGGTGTGAGGATTTAATAATGTGGGTGAGTGTTGAAACCACAATGTTGTTGTTGTGAAATCTTCATAAGATTGTGTATCAATGATATTTTAATTTTTAAAAAAGGGTCCTGTGATGATCTGTCCCACCAGAATGTGTCAAATGAAATTTGATTTGTAATTTGTAGTTAAATCCTCTTCTTTGCCCTAAAGATAATAGCCACCACCACATACTTACGCTTTGTTTGCCCTCCAGCTCTAACCTGTTATATTCTTCACTCTGTGTATCAAGGAAAATAGACACATGGATTATTGGATTTATTTCCAGATTACTGTTCTGACTTCGCAGCCTGGAAAAAAGGTGGTCAAACAACTGGAGGAAGGATTGAAAGATACAGACCTAGGCAGGGTCAGGAGGCTTCAGGTGGTTGAGATCACAAAGGGAGTCCTAGAATGTATGGACTCAGCCTCCCCTGTGGAAGAGCCCAGCAATGATGGTAAGAATTTAAAGGAAAAAGGAGAAAGAATGTCAAGATTTTCATGAGTAGCCTTTTACAGGTCAGAAAGATTATTTTTCATGGACTTTTTATATTCTTAAAAGCCAACAGATTTCATTGTGATTTAGACAGGTGTTTCCAGGTGTTAAGAGTTGAATTTTTAATCATATTTTTAATTTCAGAAACAGTCTATGTTAATGTAAAACCTGAAGTGTTATAGATGTAAAAAGTAAAATATTCTTTCCTCCTTTCATCACTTTTAAGAGATTGGCAGTTATAGTTCCCAATATTCATATATATATATTAGTATATGTATATATATATAATATTTTAATGGATCGTGACATACATAATATTCTGTAACCCTCTTTGTGAGTTGGAGAAATATCTATATTAGTATCTATTGAGCTGTCTCATTTTTACTGGCTACATTGTTTTCATACTTTGTGGTTGAACTAAAATTTAGTTATTTAATTGTTCATTAAGGAACAGTTTGGTTTATTACATTTTGTTATTATGACCAATGCTGTATGAACAGACTTATATAGACTTATATGCAGGGCTGGCTCATGGGCTTGTGACTAGTGCACACAGGGCTCTGCCTTCATAAAGGCTCTGTGCTTGGGATTTAATGCTCTTCAGTTGCTGTCTTGAAATTCCTAATAATTCATCTTTGAATATGTTTTATAAGTGAAATCTTTTGGAACCATTGAGCACATGCCAGGGGACAAGAGTCTTGGCTCATATACACCTTGCCTCCTGAGTCTTTCCTACCTCCCCAGAATGGGTTCTCAGCCTCCTCTTCCCAGCCCAGTGTCCCCAAACTGCATGCCCCCAGCCAGCAACGACTGGCACCCAAGTGCCTGCCAATAAATCCTACATAAATCTTCAGTAATTCTTAACTTGCTAGATGAAAAAAACATACAAATTGAGTCATAAAGGAGAAGTTGGAATTAGCCTCACAGAAGAAGAAGAAAAGGGCACTCAAAAAGGAGACCCAGGGGCCTGAGAAAGCAAGATAATCAGCTTTCAGAGAAGTGCTCTGGTCCTCTGTGACTGGAGCCTGTCAGGCAGAGACAGGAGTGAAGCTGTAAAGGCAGGCAAGGGTTAGATCAAGAAAGGCCATAATAAGCCATTCTAAGAAATTTGAATTTCATTCTTAGGCAATGGAAATTTATGAAAAGATCTTAGTCAGGAATTCAGGTAGAGATTCCCAAATTACAGAGTTTAAGGGGTTTTCAACCGGTTTTAATTTATCCAGCACTCAAATTACAGTTCGTCCTCCAGCAGGCCTTCTCAGCTCTACTGGCCTTCTCCAAGATTGTGCACATGGGGAGGAGCACATTGTTCTGATATCATTGATCTCTTCCAGGTCACATGAGGATAACCTCACTTTTCCCCTCACCCACCGAATAGGTCAAGAAGTTGGTAACTAAGGGTATGTTTCCCATCAAATTCTGACACATTGGATCCTGCCAGCATTAGGAGGTCACTAACATCCTCTGGTGGGGGAGGGTGGGTAAGCAGCCTTAGCTGTGCAGTTTATGAGCTCTCACCTTCTTGACACTCTGCTTTCTTCAAGCCAGTCTCCTCAATGACTGTCTTCTTTCTATCCCCATCCTTCCACTCATAGTTGTCTTTTCCTCTGAGTTCCCTCTTCTTTCCTCTGAATTCTTTCTCCTTTCCTCTTCTAGCCAAATCCTCCCCGTTCTTTAAGGTCTAATTCACATTTGTGGTTACTATGATGATTTTCCTCTCAGAACAACTGCATCACTTGTGCTCTACATCACACAGTTTAGTGTTTAATTATATTATATACCTTGTAAAATTGTTCATCATTACTTTATTGTATGATAATTTTTTCTTATCACCTAAATTGTAAACTACCTGATATCTTTGCTCTCTACATTGAACTGTAAATGCCTTGGTATTAAGAATTTGTCTTATTCATGTTTGTGTCTCAGGTAGAGCATATCCTAGATTATCAGTAGATATTTGTTGAATGAATTGATGACAATGATACCTATAGATACCTGGGGAGGCCCAGCATCCCCATTCTCTAGTAACATCTCTACCTTCCTGTTCACAGAGTGGGCCACGGCCCAGGTGAGGCAGTCATAGTTCACCAGACCTCCACTCACAGTCCTTCCCAGTGGGTCTCAAACTGAACCTCTGAGAGAAAAATTCTTTTTCTTTCTCTTTGGCAATGGATATGTCAGGCATGGACAATGTCCTTTTCTCCTTTCAGTGATATACCCAGAGAGACTGTATCTCTAATGATACAAAGCACAGAATACCCTGAGGCTGCCTGATGTCTCTATTTAGGATAGTTAGTGGCTAGAGCTGTATAAAGGAGCTGTTAAATACAGGAAAGCAGCTTTCTACTTTGAGTCTCTGCTGATGAGTCTTCCAGTAACTTCCTGTTGGCTTATAAATAATACATCAGCCCATCAATTGCTTTTAATTCTTTTCTGTGTGTAAGTGTATGTATAGTTCATGGCTTGTAATTTTACCTGTTTGCCTGTACTTTCCCCATAATTAATTTTTTTATTCCAGTAATGTTTTGTTTCATCTTGGTGTCCTCATCAAGAGATTAGCAACAGCAACTTTCTCAGTCTCAGAAAGATGAGTACTCTAGAATTAGGTTGCCTGAATCTAAATCCCAGTTCTGTCACTTACTAGCTTTGCAACTTTGGGCAAGGTACTTAGCCTGTCTGTGCTGTAATTACTAATTCTTGCCCCATGTGGTAGTTGTGAGGATTAAATGAGATCACGTATGTTAATTGCTTAGTACCTAATAAATGCTCAGGAGAAGTTAGCTATTCTTATTAATATTTTTGAAAACTTTTTTATGTGGATGGTGTAGTATTCCTGAGATGTTTTTTTAATAATTTTTTATTAAGGTATTGATATACCCTCTTATGAAGTTTTCACATGAAAAAACAATGTGGTTACTAAATTTACCCATATTATCAAGTCCCCACCCATAGGCCATTGCAGTCACTGTCCATCAGTGTAATAAGATGCCACAGATTCACTATTTGCCTTCTCTGTGCTACACTGTTTTCTCTGTGACCCCTCACACCATGTGTACTAATCATAATACCCTTCAATCCCCTTCTCCCTCCCTCCCCACCCGTCCTCCTACACCCCTCCCCTTTGGTAACTGCTAGTCCTTTCTTGGAGTCTGTGAGTCTGCTGCTGTTTTGTTCCTTTAGTTTTGCTTCATTGTTATACTCCACAAATGAGGGAAATCATTTGGCACTTTCTTTCTCCTCCTGGCTTATTTCAACTGAGCATAATATCCTCCAGCTCCATCCATGTTGTTGCAAATGGTAGGATTTGTTTCTTTCTTATGACTGAATAGTATTCCATTGTGTATATGTACCACCTGTTCTTTATCCATTCATCTACTGACAGACACTTAGGTTGCTTCCGTATCTTGACTATTCTAAGTAGTGCTGCAATAAACATAGGGGCGCATATGTCTTTTTGAATCTGAGAAATTGCTTTCTTTGGGTAAATTCCTAGGAGTGGGATTCCAGGGTCAAATTGTATTTCTATTTTTAGTTTTTTGAGGAACCTCCATATTGTTTTCCACAATGGTTAAACTAGTTTATATTCCCACCAGCAGTGTAGGAGGGTTCCCCTTTCTCCACATCCCCACCTGCATTTGTTGTTCTTAGTCTTTTCGATGCTGGCCATCCTAACTGGTGTGAGGTGATATCTCGTTGTGGTTTAATTTGCAATTCCCTGATGATCAGTGATGTGGAGCATCTTTTCATGTACGTGCTGGCCATCTGAATTTCTTCTTTGTAGAAGTGTCTGTTCATATCCTACCCCCATTTTTAAATCAGGTTACTTGCTTTTTGGGTGTTGAGGCATCTGAGTTCTTTATATATTTTGGATGTTAACCCTTTTTCAGATATGTGATTTACAAATATATTCTCCCATACTGTAGGATGCCTTTTTGTTCTGTTGATGGTGTCCTTTGCCATACAGAAGCTTTTTAGTTTGATGTAGTCCCATGTGTTCATTTTTGCTTTTGTTTCCCTTGCTCGAGGAGATGCATTCAGGAAGAAGTTCCTCATGTTTATATTCAGGATATTTTTGCCTATGTTGTCTTCTAAGAGTTTTATGTTTTCATGACTTACATTCAAGTCTTCGATCCATTTCGAGTTTACTTTTGTTTATGGGGTTAAACAATAATCCGGTTTCATTCTCTTGCATGTAGCTGTCCAGTTTTGCCAACACCAGTTGTAGAAGAGGCTGTCATTCCCCCATTGTATGTCCATGACTCCTTTATTGTATATTAACTGACCATATATGGTTGGGTTTATATCTGGGCTCTCTAGTCTGTTCCATTGGTCTATTGTTCTGTTCTTGTGCCATTACCAAATTGTCTTGATTACTGTGGCTTTGTAGTAAAGCTTGAAGTTGGGGAGCATGATACCCCCAAGCTTTATTCTTCCTTCTCAGGATTGCTTTGGCTATTTGGGGTCTTTTGTGGTTCAATATGAATTTTAGAACTATTTGCTCTAGTTCATTGAAGAATGTTTTTGCTATTTTGATAGAAATTGCATTGAATCTATAGATTGCTTTAGGCAGGATGGTCATTTTGACAATATTAATTCTTCCTATCCATGAGCATGGGATGTGTTTCCATTTATTGGTCATCTTCTTTAATTTCTCTCATGAGTGTCTTGTAGTTTTCAAAGTGTAGGTCTTTCACTTCCCTGGTTATGTTTATTCCTAGGTATTTTATTCTTTTTGATGCAGTTGTGAATGGAATTGTTTTTCTGATTTCTCCCTCTGCTAGTTTATTGTTAGTGTAGAGGAATGCAACAGATGTCTGTGTATTAATTTTGTATCCTGCAACTTTGCTGAATTCAGATATTAGATCTAGTAGTTTGGGACTGGATTCTTTAGGTTTTTTATGTACAATATCATGTCATCTGCAAACAGTGGCAGTTTAACTTCTTCCTTACCAATCTGGATGC